TATTTCTTTACCTCTCAGCTCAAAGGTGGCGTACCCTTTGAGACCTAGTGTATAGGTTTTTATCTTATTCCAATCTAACTCCAAGTTGAGTCTCTATGGATGGATGATTCGGGCCTAATTGCACGTGTTTTGCCCCGGTTTTACTTAGATGTTTGTGCCAAATTTGCTCCTAAAAGGTTGGTTTTACGCTAGGTTCTTCGTGTTTGAGTGTGTTTCAGGATTTAACAGGTGAAACAAGCCTCGGAGTCGAAAGATTGGCGAAAAGGATCGAAAACCGGGAGAAGAGGTGAAAAAGAGTCAGTTCACGGCTAACTAAGGGAGTTCACGGTCATGCAAGACCGTGAGGAAGAGGAGTTGACGGTGAATCGTGAGGCGTCCAAAGCCAAAGTGAAGGTTACTAACGCAAGGTGAGTTCACGGTCACTAAGACCATGAACAAAGGAAGTTGACCGTGAACAAATGTGAACGATGCGGCGCGTTTTGGCGCACGCCTGGAGTTCACAGACGCGTTTCATGGTTCACGACCGTGAACTCAGGCCGTGAACTCAGCTCATCTCTGGTTTAAAAGATGAGCTGAAAGGAGGAGAGAAGGGAGAGCCCACTTTTGTGTGAAACACCTTCTTCAGCATTCTAGTGAGAGAAACATAACCAAAGGTAAGAAGAAGGTTAGGGTTTGGCTTCAAGGCACATTTTGGGAAGATTTCCTCCAAGGAAAGCTCAACTCAAGGGCCAAGAAGACTGGGAGCATCCTGAAAGATGGTTTCCACCTTTTTCCTTTTTGTTTTCCCCACTTCTAGCATGGAGTAGATCTCCTTTCACTTGGGTGTAGTTAAACCCTAACTCTACCATGTAATTTTCTTGTATGTGTTTTGGATGATTGTCATTGGGTATTGTTCAATTCAATGATTGAGGCACTTTTTATCATGATTGTGCATGCTTGTGCTTAGCAACCTAGGGGTTGGCATGTTTTGTGCTTAGCAACCTAAGGATTGTGCATAATTGTGCTTAACACCCCTAGGTTTGCGCATTTAGGTGCTAGAAATCTAATTAGCCACCTTAGCCTAGCTTAGAGAGGAAAATTCTCCTTTCAAGGGAGACTCAATCGAGTTGGTTTTCCTTCCGCTTTCTAAGCCACCTAAACTAGATTAAGTTGGGGCAACCCTGAATGTTGAGTTAAGAAATTTGATTAATCATGATTAAGACGTCCGACTTTAGAGTTGAGTGAGGGAGTAAGTCAATTATCGATTGTCTAAACCGAGAGGGTCGAGTGACACGGCCTTTCATCCTTACCTCGGTTTACCAATTGAGATTGCGGTCTCCGACCACATATGCATCCCTCTACGGTTCGCGATTATCGTGCCCAAAGGCATTGTTCCAATTCACATAGCATGGTAGCGGTTAGGGGGAAGCGACACCCGAGTGACATTCCCACAAAAGAGTTTTCAAACTCAATCACCTTTACTTTCTTTTATTTCAATTAGCAAACCTTTAAACCAAAGTTTTGTTGCTAGATATTGATTTCAACAACTGAAGTAGGGGTAGACGGACCGGCCCGGGTCGATATCTAAATACTTGCCCTATACTGCACCCGATTAGAGTTTAAAAACTTCGGCTCTAATTGGGATTTTATTGTGGTGTAGTTTCGTGCGAGTCAAGTTTTTAACGCCGTTTCCGGGGAGAACGGTCTGTTATTCTGAAAAAGTTGTTGGTTGTTAATCTAGCTTTTAATTTCCAATTTTACAAGTGTGTGTTGTTGGCTTGTGCTAGACTTTGAGTGTTTTCTGGTTGTGTGTAGGTGGTGCATGACCCGGAGCAACCCGGTACCTTTGCTACCGCTTGACGAGGACATAAACCAAACTCTCTGACTCCTAGCACGGGAGAGAGAGCTACCGGAGACAAAAGGAAGAGGAAGCTGTATGGGAAGTTGTATGACCCCACTTGAAGTGAAGTTAAATCAGTTGATCATAGTGATGTCTGAGGATAAAGGACATGTTAGCAGTATGTTTATTATTAATTATTATTTAGTTAATCTACTTGTTTAAGTTAACGAGATTTTTCAACTTCCTTCCCTTTGTGAATTTCATTGACTATTCTTTGTTTTGGAATCCATTCTTATTTGATTTTATTTATTGACTTTGTTACTTCAAAATTTGGTTGTCGTGGTGATTTGTAATGTAATAGAACCAACAATTTAGACAAGTGTTGTTAGAAGTGTAGGTATAAATTTGTAATTGTACAATAAGTGACGTGAGAAGGGGTTAGGGTTATAGGTTACTCGATTATATATATGAATTGTGATGGATGACCTATGTAACCACTACAGTGAATAAGATCGATCTCTGCCTTTTGCCGAGGACTAGTCTTGACGATACTCGTCAAGCAAACCACGTAAATCCGGTGTCTCTCTTCTCTCGTATTTGTGTTACGTATTATTATCATGGTATAAGAGCCTCATGATTATTGATCACGCCTGAAGGTTTGGGTTTCGTGTCTCTCTGATTTCGTTTATGTATTTGTGTGTGCGTTTGGGCTTCATTGTGTGGCAATATCTCTTTCCATGCTAAGGGATTCTTCTTCTTTGCCGACGGTGAGCTTTGCTGGGTATTTCGGGGCTTCTTCTTCTGTCAGCTATGTGGTATTTTGGGGTTTCTTCTTTTATTGGTTGCGTGTTCTCTTGTTTGGTGATCATGGAGGGTTCCAAATTTAATACGGTGGCTGTTCGTTTTAACGGTAAGAATTCGGCTCTTTGGGAATTTCAATTCTGACGTCATGTGCAAGAGCGGCGCCTCTTTTCGTTCATGGACGGGCCTGCTCCTCAACCTACGGCTGATGCTGCCGTTAAGGAGCGGGAGGATTGGGCCGCATACAATGCGACTGTGATGTCTTTTTTGCTAGCCTCGATGGAACCTAGGATTGCTCTCAGCTTGCGTGGCCTTCTTACGGATGATGCAATTTGGAAGCATATGGCGGAATTGTACTCCAAGGCTACCGCTTCTCGCAAGTATGATATTGAATTTTTGACTTGGCTGGATTGAAACAAGGGGAGATGGACATTAGTTCCTATTATCAGGAGGCCATGACGTTGTGGATGGAACATGATGTGATTACTAGTTCTCTGGTTTCAGCAGCTGCATCGTTGGAAGTTCTCCAGGAACGAGCTGGCTCGCGAGTTATGCATTTCTCATGAACCTTCGCGCTAAGATCGAGGGAATTAGAGCTTTCCTGCTTCATCGTGGTGTCTCCACCATTTAGGGTGTCTTACCCGAGCTCCTGCGCGAGGAGACAAGATTGAAGAGTCAAGCTAAGCTTGACATCCATGCATCTGATCCTGGTGCTCCATTTACTGTAAGACCAAGCCGCCCTCAGTTTGCTCGCACCTCTTCGAGTGTGATCATCTGCCACTATTGCAAAGATCCGGGACGCATCTAGTTTCACTGCAAGAAACGTAATACCTGCAACTATTGCAAGCTCGAGGGTCATCTCATCGCTGATTGCCCAACGTTGGCACAACGGGGCCGTAATCGCACTGGTGCTGGTAATTCTCGTTATCGTGGCAGCTCTCGCCCACGACCCTCCGCCAACGCCTATGCAACCTCGGTGGACTCCTCTTCTTTTCCTGGCATGTCTTTGAAAGAGGTGCGCCGGCTGGTTCAGGAAGCTTTGAATGAAGCTTTTTCATCGGGTATGACTTCTTCCTTTCCTCGTACTTGGCACTTAGACTCAGCAGCTTATATAGGACTAGTGATCGTCACCTGTTCTTCGATCTTCGTTCTTCTACATCGCCTTTAGCTTTGCAAGCTGTTGATGGGTCTCGAATGCAAGTTAATCGGACGGGTTGTGTGGTCCAGCCCAATATTTCACTCCCTCATACATTATATGTTCCTAATCTGGTTCCCAATCTTGTATCGGTGGGTCAACTAGCTAAAGTTGGGTGCCTAGTTATGTTTGATGAGGCTGGTTGTGTTGTGCATGACAAGAACACGGGAGTGGAGAAAGGGCGGGGGATTAAGAAAGGCCGAGTCTATCTGTTAGATCGTATCTCGAAGATAGGCGAAGTAGTCGACGGCAGTTCTGGGTCGAGCAGCGCCTCTGGAGTCAGTGTGAAGAGCTTCGTAGATGCTTCTAGCAGTAGAAATGTTATTTCTTGTTCTGGTTTCTCGGCTGAACTATCAAACTAGGATTTGTGGCATTTTAGACTGGGTCATCCCAACTCTGCAAGACTTCTTACTATGTTTCAGAATCCTTGGTTGTCTGGATCTACATTTGGCAATAATTCACATGATTGTGTTCATTGTTTGCAAGCTAAGCTTTCGCAGAAATTGTTTACTGCTAGTGATACTGTCTATACTGAACCTTCTGAGTTAGTTCACACTGACTTGTGTGGGTCATTACCTGTGACATCGCGGTTGGTTTTCGTTACTTCTCATTATTTGTTGATCATACGACCAGATCTACCTGGGTGTACTTCTTGCAGCAGAAGTCGGAACTTTTGACTGTAGCTCGTGAATTTGTGCAGATGGTGTCGACTAAATTTGGTATGGAAATTAAGATCCTGCGATCAGATCCAGGTGGAGAATTCTCGTCGAATTCACTAATGGATCTCTTTCGAGATCGCGGCATACTTCAACAACTATCATGTCCGGGAGTTTCACAGCAAAACGGACTTGTCGAACGAAAGCATTGTCAGGTTCTTGAGCTTACCCGAGCCATATTAATTCATTCATAGGTGCCATCGGGATTTCGGGTGGAAGCAGTGCATACAGTAGTTTATCTGATCAACAGACAAATTACCTCGACTCTCCAGCAGCGTAGTCCGTATCAAGCTCTCTATTCTCGTCTTCCAAAGTTGTCAAATGTGTATTTATCGGTTATAGAGATAAGCACAAAGGCTATGTCTGCTATGATGTTGCTAAAATACAGGTCTGGATATCATGTCATGTTAAATTTTTAAAGCATTAATCATATTATGGCTCGTCGAGCAATTATCCGGCTAGTTCGGAACTAGACTTCTTGACTAATACTTGGCCTCTTGATGCTGAAGATGCAGCGGACACGCCAACTGATCCGGGAGAGAATAATGTTCAGATTCACCACATCCCATTGCCTCGTCCTCAACAACTTCGTCCTCGCCAACTTCGATAAGCTCACAAATGTCTGCCTCCTCTTCGGATAATGATATTTCGCCGAACTCGCCAGCTTCACCGCCAACATCATCCTCTTCTTCCTCTTCCAAGCTCTCGTCCTCCCCTGGCTCATCTCCATCACCAATTCCCTTCGAGCTCCATCACCAATTCCCTTCGAGCTGGCCGAACCTAATGAAGAGCTAGTCCTGCGATGCTCCACTAGCATTACCCGAGGTAAACCACCATCTCGTCACAATGATTTCTTGGCTTATTCTACCTCTCCTGTTTATGTCTCAGCGACATACAAACAGGCCAAAGGAATTGAACAGTGGGAGAAGGCAATGGACGTCGAGAAGGATGCTCTCGAAGCATCACACACATGGGACTTGGTTAAGCGCAAACCTGACATGTCGTTCATAGGTTGTAAGTGGGTATATACTCTTAAGATGCTGCCCGAAGGTACGGTGGAACAAGAAAAGGCGAGGTTGGTGGCTCAAGGGTTTCGACAAGAATACGGTGTCGATTATGAAGAAACCTTTGCACCAGTGGCAAAGATGCAGGCTGTACGGAGTTTACTAGTGGTAGCAACAATGAAGAAATGGCAGTTATTGCAATTAGATGTGAAAAATGCGTTCTTACATGGGGATTTAAAAGAGACTATCTACATGGAAAGACCACCGGGCTATACACGAGGAGACAACACTATGGTATGTCGTCTACGCCGTTCTCTATACGGTCTAAAGCAAGCTCCCCGGGCGTGGTTCGAGAAGTTTCATGCTATCTTTTTGCATGTTGGTCTTGTGCAGAGCAAGAATGACCCATCCCTCTTCCTTTGGTCGACTAGTAGAGGCATTGCAGTATGTCTTATCTATGTGGATGACATGGTGATAACAGGGGATGATAGTGTTGGTATTGAGGACCTGCTATTGGTATTGGGCTCGGCGTTTAATCTCAAAGAACTCGGGGATCTTTCTTACTTTCTTGGCTTGGAAATTCATAGATCTTCTGCAAGTATTCATGTCGGCCAAAGGAAATATATTGTTTACTTGCGGGAGGAAGCCCATATGGATGATTGTCTCCCCAGCAACATACCCATTGAACAGAATATCAAAAACAGCAGGTGGAGGGTGATATATTGTCGGATGGCTCCTTATATCGGAGTATTGTGTGTAGTCTCATCAATCTGACGCATGCTCGACCTGATATATCTTATCTTATACAAATTATAAGCCAATTCATGTCGGCTTCGGGCAAATCTCACTGGTCGGTTGTTCAACAAATTTTGAGATACTTACGTGGTACTCAAGAGGGTTGTTTTCTATTTCCGACTAGAGGTGACTCAGTTCTTAAGGCTTTTCAGATGCCGACTATACTGGTTGCCAAGACACTCGTCGTTCTACTTCCGGCTGGTGCGTCAAGATTGGGAATTCATTTATTCTTGGAGGTGTAAGAAGCAAGATCGGGGTATCAAAGTCATCTACAGAAGCTGAATACCGGTCCATGATTGAAGTGCCTTATGAGATTCTGTGGCTACGCAGGCTGTTGGGAGAGCTCGGGGTTACTTGTCAGGAGCCAGTTCGGATACATGTTGACAATATGACTGTTATCCGTATTGCAACTAATCTGGTGTTACACGACAGGACAAAGCATATTGAAGTGCACGTTCACTATGTTCGTCAACTTGTAGTCGAAGGAACTATGGAACTCACCTACATCACTTTCGAAGACCAGCCCGCTGATCTTTTAACTAAGGTAGTGTCTACGTAACGTCACTGGTTTCTAGCACACAAATTGATGTTGCGTCAGCTACATCAATTTGAGGGAAGGTGTTAGAAGTGTAGGCATCAATTTGTAATTGTACAATAAGTGACGTGAGAAGGGGTTAGGGTTATAGGTTAGCCGAGTATATATATGAGTTGTGATGGCTGACCTATGTAACCACTATAGTGAATAAGATTGATCTCTGCCTTCAGGGGTGGGCAACGGGAAACGGGTATTTGGGTATACCCATACCCGTCCCGTTTTTTGAGGGTTACGAGTACCCAAATACTCGTAATTTTTTTACGGGATGGGATTTGGGAACAAGAAATTCTACAATGGGTACCCGCGGGTTACCCGTTTGGGTATTACGGGTACCCGTACTACCCGTTTGTCTTCTTTAAAGTAATATAATACATATTCTTCCTTCGGTGATCTATTCCCATGTAATAATACATAGTTGCATATGAACCTTTTACTTTAGAAATGGCTCAAGCATGGATGCATTACAAGGAAGTGAAATGAGAAGATGGATAATTATAATGAAAGATTCACCCATCTGCTAGGTTGCTTCTTCACCAACCCAGTAGCAGAATGAAAGAACTCCATCATCTTGTTGGGGCTTGTTTGGGCCTTAGTCGTGCAGGCTTATTTGGTTAGCAGAGAGCTATGAAAACTGTTGTGCATGTTAGTGCAATTTATTAGTTCCTGCAATTCAGGGTCATGGTGCCGAGAATTCTGCTTTGGAGTTGGCTTTGTTAATTTGCTTCGTTGAATAAAATTAATTTTTTTGGCTAATTATCATACACAACTATGGCCGCTTAGCTTATTTATTGTGGCTAAATTTTCTTTCTTTAAAATAATAACGGGTACCCGCGGGTACCCGTTATTCGTCCCGTACGGGTTTGGGAATGGGATGGAGTTTCCTCTCCAAATGGGATTGGGTACCCGTTTCAAACGGGACGGGTACCCAATCCCGTCCCGTTGTCCACCCCTATCTGCCTTGTGCCGTGGACTAGTCTTTACGATACTCGTCAAAGAAACCACGTAAATATGGTGTCTCTCTTCTCTCGTATTTTTGTTGCGTATTATTATCAAGTGTAACACTCGTGTTTTTATGTCCATAATTATGACATCTGAAACACTTGGTTTTGTATAGTTTTGTACATAATTTTTGTTGTTTGACCTTAGTTGAATTTTCCAAATTTGAGTTTTTGTTAGTAATTGTGGCACAAATTTTTCTTGATTTTGGCAGTCACATTCCAGCTGGATTACTTTTTTAGTAAGGTTTTGTAGAAAGCTTTTTAGCTCATTGATACTATCCATGATTTTATAACACATCCATTCTGTTCTTTTTAATTTCTTTTTTAGTTCGTGTTTGTGAGCTATCATTTTGAACTTTAGTTTTTATATCAAATGACTTTAAGGAGTCATTTGAATCATATTCTATGCATGCACGAAGTGGTTCAAGTAGTACATAGAAGTTTGATGTTTCTTTGGCCATTAGACCAAGATGATTTTGTTATACAGGATCCATGTAAATTTTGTGGTCTTTTCCAGTTTCTTTTAGGGCAACCATCTCTAAGATGGCCAGGTTTTCCACGCGTGAAACAAATAACAGTGCATTTCTCGATGATTATGGAATTTTTGTCTCCTTTTATTTTTACTATTGTTTCTATTATATTCCTATCAAACTTTATATCATTGCTAAATCTTCTAGAATTAGTGTTCTGATTTCTTTGGTACCGCAAATACCCTAATTTCTTTAAAAGAAATGTTATTTGTTCTTCTATTTCTTCTTCATCTTCCATCAATTGAGATTTGAGGGCTAGATCCTTCCTCTTGCGAGGTTGATCATTATCCTCAATTCTTAACACACTTTCATGAGCATTTAGTGAGCCTATTAACTCACTTAATTCAAACTTAGCCAGATCTTTTGATTTTCTATGGCCGTTACCTTTGGTCTCCAAGACCTTGGTAGAGAGTATAAAATATTACTAATTAAGTCAGCATTGGTGTATACTTTACCAAGGGTCATTAATCCAATAACTATATTTTTTAACCTTTCATACATTTCAGTAATATTTTCATTCTCACTCATTTTGAACAGTTCATATTCTCTGACTAGCATTCTTATCTTGGTATCTTTAACTTGGGACGTACCTTCATATGTAGTCTCCAGGATGTCCCAGATTTTCTTTGCATTTTTGTACATGGCTACTTTGCCATACTCTTCTCTTCCAAGAGCAAATTTAAGAATATGTTTGGCATTGGCATTGATTTGTAGACTTACCATATCTTTTTCCAGTCCAAATCCCGATGTCATTCTCAACTTACTTTGGTCTTCTTTTTATATTGATCCAGACCTTCATGTCATAGGCTTGTAAGAAATCTTCCATGCAACCTTTCGAAAAGGCATAATTGTTATCGTCGAGTTTTGTGGTCTTGTTGCAGACTATATTTCAGCTTGCGTGACTGGAGGAAGATGACTCATCATTCTGGTTGAAGAGCTTCTAGCTTCCATCCTTGGATCTTGTTCCTCGTTAGAAACCTACTCTGATAACAATTATAGAACATGTGTAGCACACAAGTTTCATATAAAATGATAAATAAATACAATTAATTATGGACTGGTCGTCTTGACTTATATATTGGGCTTGACCCATTGCTAAAGTCTAAGAGTTTCACGAGATGGGCTTTGGCCCTTAAAAAGTCGTCTTCAACCTTGGATGGGCAAGGTAGTAGAAAAGCAAACACTCAATAGAGGAGAGTAAGGAGAGACACAACACAAGTACACATAATGATTTTTTAACTGAGTTTGGCCTATTGCTTTACGTCTTAGCTCAAAAGTGACTTACCCATTGATACCTAGTCTCTAGAATTTTATCTTATTCCAATGTGACTCCAAGTTGAGTCCCTTTGGGTGGAACTCATACCCTTTACAAGAATAGAGCAATATACACATTTCTCTCTTCCTCACAAGCACTCACGCTTAGGGATGGCAACGGGTCAGGGGCGGATAGTGTATATCTATTACCCTACCCAAAGTAGTTCGAGTTTTACCCATACGCATACCCACGTAAGAATCAGGTAGAAACTCAAAACCATACCCATACCCGTTCTGGTTTCGGGTATCCGCGGTTATCCATGGGTAATAATTTCACTTTATAACTCCAACCAACATGTTAACATTCGCCCGTATACTCACCTATATAAGTGGAAAGGTACGGAAATAATTCACTAGAATGAAGAAAATTAATTTCAAACAACATAATTTCATGAAAATATTATATTTGTATGTTATATATAAAACATGTCGAGAAAAATAATGAT